CCCGATTGCGAAAATGGCGATTGGGGCTTTCTTGCGCAAAACCGCGTCTAGATTGGCACAGACGCTTTTCCGTAAAAAGTGCTTTTGCGGAAAAGCGTCTGTGCCAATCTAGACGCTCTTTTCCGCAAATGCTTTTAACGGAAAACTTTTCCGTTAAAAGCATTTGCGGAAAATCATGCCAGTCTAGACGTAGCCTAATTGTTCCTTCCTAAGTGGAGCACTTTGCATTTGTCCTTATTAAACTTCATCCTAGTGACCTCCGACCATTTCTCCAGTTTGTCCAGATCCGTTTGAATTATCCCTTCACATATGCATTAGGAATGTTATAGTGTAGTTCATTAACTGATTAATCTGTAAGCAAAATCTTATAGGTTAATGCTAAAAACTACACACATTCTGCTGCCCCTCCCCTCCCCTCTTCCCCCCGACCTTGCCAGTAAATTTTTTAGCAGGCTGGCCCAGCAGCCTGGCTCAGTCTGGGTCCTACCCTCGCTGCAGCTCTGCATTTAAAGTGTATTAAGAGCTGGGCAACCAGGCAGCCCGGCTCAGTCTTGACTTGCGCCAGGTCCAGGACCTACTCCTGCTGCATGTATTTCCCACAGTTCTGAATCGTACTGTGTCCAGGAACTCAGACCCCATGCTGGACCGGGGCTGCTGCCACCCCACGCTGCTGCCTCTTTCTCTGGTTTTTAAACTGGCTCCCCTCGCGGACCAGCTCCCACCTGCGCTGCTGCCTCTGATACAGTGCCTGCCACCCCTGCCCTCGGGGACTATAGAAAAGTCGACCAACTGATCAAATGTCACGAGGTTACTCGATTATTCAATGAATCGATATTTAACATCCCTAGGACGTCCCCGGCCATGTGCTTGGTCTCACGCCCGACATGAATGAAAACCTCTCTTGCACAAAGACGTTTGCAATCGGAGGCTCTGATTATGCGAATTTCTCTGGGTGGGTGGAGCCTGCACCCATGTGAGGAGGTGGCAGGATCGGTGCCGTAGGGTCTGGCCACCGTGCAATATAAGCCCAGGGTTAATAGAAGGTGAGTTAGCACAGCCTGGCTCGCGTCATGTCCTCACTCAGCTGTAACCCCAGGTTAGGAATTGTTTAACCCTGGGGCTTCAGTACCCGCACTGTATTATGCCAGCCTGAGTCCAACACCCACCTTGCAGACTTCCTTGCATCTTGCCCAAATGCGGCTGCGCTAGCCCTTTATTTGCTGTGCAGGGCTGGAAAACCTGGCTCCCCAGAGGCCTGAAAGAGTCGGGTTGTGGGACACTTTTGGCGCATTCCCAGAGCATGAGTCTAGGGGGGCTGCAGCTACACTAGCTCTTTTTTGAACCCTGTTAAAGTTCTAGTCTTCACAACATCCTCTGGCAAGGAGTTCCACCGGTTGACACTGCATTGTGGGAAAAATACTTCCTTTTGTTTGTTTTAAACCAGCTACCTATTCATTTCATTTGGTGACCCTAGTTCTTATGTTATGGGAACAATTACATAACTTTTCCTTTTTTCACTTTCTCCATACCTGTCATGATTTTATAGACCTTTCTCATATCCCCACTTAGTCTCCTCTTTTCTAAGTTGAAAAGTCCTGGTCTTTTTTATCTCTCTTCATATAGTACCTGTTCCAAAACACTCATCATTTTTGTTGCCCTTTTCTGAACCTTTTCCAGTGCCGATATATCTTTTTTGATACAGTATTCAAGATGGGGGTGCACCATGGATTTATTTAGAGGCAAAAAGATATTCTCTGTCTTATTCTCTATCCCTTTTTCCTAGCATTCCGTTTGCTTTTTTGGCTGCCGCTGCACACTGAGTATTTTCTCCCCCCTTGCGGAGAAGGAATGTGGCGTGTGTCAGTTTTTCTGGGGCTAGGACAGCAGTTCCCAACCTTTTCCAGGTGGGGACCCATTTTGACAGTTCAGGAAGACTTGGTGACCCAAGGCAATTCAAAAACGGCGGGGAGGAGGGACAGGCAGTGCCGTCACTAGCTAATTTTGCGCCTGCGGCAAGAATATAAAATTGTGCCCCCTCCTGTTTTCATATTTATGGTAACACTCAAGGGCTGGCGGGGCTGAGAATCACAGAGAGTAACACTCAAGGGCTGGCGGGGCTGAGAATCACAGAGAGTAACACTCAAGGGCTGGCGGGGCTGAGAATCACAGAGAGTAACACTCAAGGGCTGGCGGGGCTGAGAATCACAGAGAGTAACACTCAAGGGCTGGCGGGGCTGAGAATCACAGAGAGTAACACTCAAGGGCTGGCGGGGCTGAGAATCACAGGGTATGTCTACACTACCCTCCTATTTCGAAATAGGAGGGTAATGTAGGCATACCGCAATTGCAAATGAAGCCCGGGATTTGAATTTCCTGGGCTTCATTTGCATAAACCGGGTGCTGCCATTTTTAAATCCCGGCTGGTTCGAACCCCGTGCCGCGCGGCTACACGCGGCACGAACTAGGTAGTTCGAACTAGGCTTCCTAGTTCGAACTACGATCCCTCCTATTTCGAAATAGGAGGGTAATGTAGGCATACCGCAATTGCAAATGAAGCCCGGGATTTGAATTTCCTGGGCTTCATTTGCATAAACCGGGTGCTGCCATTTTTAAATCCCGGCTGGTTCGAACCCCGTGCCGCGCGGCTACACGCGGCACGAACTAGGTAGTTCGAACTAGGCTTCCTAGTTCGAACTACGATTACTCCTCATTCCACGAGGAGTAACGGTAGTTCGAACTAGG